AGAGAGAGAGAGAGAGAGAGAGAGGTGATGTGGTAGGGGGGATTTAGTTATGCTGGCTGATCTCAAAATTTACCATTTGAGGAATAATACTTGGGGAAAGTAATAAATACCTCCAAGTTCGAAACACTGATCGGATACTGACGTAGGAAATCATTTATTGTGCCTAAGGCTTTTCCTTTTTTTCATTTTCAAGTAACAGAGTTCAGTGGAATACATTGAACATTGTGCTCCTCTCAAGACAGAATGTCACCACACTTTTAAAAAAACATAATTTAACATAATTTGAAATTTTCAGGTGGGTTAAACTCATAGCAGTTTTGTAGACACAGTAGGCTCTAGTAGCATCATTCTCAGGGGTTTTGAGACGTCTTCTCAAGTTTCCTCAAACAATGCATATTTTTTTCCTTCTTCAAATTCGTTCGTTTTAAAAGAATAATAAGAATCGCTCCGACCCCCCCCCCCAACCCCTAAATCCACATAAAAAAGAGAAAAAAACCAACCTCAAAATCAGAGGCAAACTTCTACGAAAATAATAAATACAGGGATGGTACGGTAAAATAATGGAAGCAGCAAAGGTGGCAGTGGAAAGCTATCGTATTCAAAATAAATTTGATAAAGTACGAAGCATCCTATGTGAAAGCTATACATGTAATACGAAGGGTAGTTTTATTCAACAAGACTCGACAGCAATTCAACTTTTAAACTGAACAACTTATGCTTTCTCGAAAAGTTTATTAATTTAATTTACTACTATTCAATTGTCGTGAAGAATATCTCGGTCTTTCTTTGGGGACGAAATACTCTTCCCAGTCCGGATTTGCCTTGGCGGGAAAGGGTCAAATCCCGCCTCCTACATGTCGACTGAGGCGTAAAAAACATTTATGATACTTTATAAATAATCGTTTTTAACTCTTGAATAAAAAAAAAAAAGCTGGCATCAACGAAACAGGCGACTGGTATAGGGGAATAAATGGTGTTAGACAGCCCACAAAACCTCAGTCATGTTGTAAATGAGTTTTCTGAGTGGTACATAAAGGTTAGTTTTTATGTCTAACAAGCGGGTTACATTTTTTAAATTAGCCGAATTCGTAAATTCAAAACTGGTTGGAGAAAGAGCTGTTTAGTATAAAAAAAGAATCTGAGAGAGAGAGAGA